TCCCTCCCTTTATCCCTTTATCGAGTCAAAAAGGAAAGAAATTGAAACCGAAGTTGAAAAAAGTTGATCTCTTCTCCCTCCTTTATTTCTTTATCGAGTCAAAAGGGAAAGAAGTTGGGACCGATCCGATTCCTTCTCTTCCTCCGAAGAAGAAGAAGGGTCGAAAAAGAGACGCTGGCTGCGCCTATGCGAACCAACCACTCCTTCGAGAACGAAGCGAGCGAGCGAGCGAAGAAGGGAGAAGCGGCCAGGCCCCTGGCTATCGAGAATAAGAGAGAGGAGGAAGAGGAAGAAGAAGAAGAAGAAGAAGAAAAAGAAGAAGAAGAAGGGAAGAAGAAGAATTGAGGAGAGGGGGGGAGAGAGAGAGAGAGAGAGAGAGTGGGAGGAGAAAAATGAAAAAGTCACCGATGCCATGCGAGCGACGTGACCTCTCGTCGATGACCCCGGACGAACCGGCCAAAGACGGCGAGGCGAAGGGGGGAATGCCGCCACACTCCTCAAGCTACGTTCACAGTTCGCCGAAAAAGGCACGGTACACAACCGGTACGCCGATTGTGCGTTGACCGGTCAACGTGCCTCCTCCTCCTCCCCCTCCTCCACCTCCTTCGGCACCCGGCTTCCCTTCTCCTCCTCTCTCCTTCGGCGTTAATTTATGCCCGATACCGATGCGAACAGTCTTCCTTCCTAGCCTGGGAGGAAGTTTACCCGCTTCGTGTCGCGAAACTACCACCAGACTCACTAACAGACGCACTGTTTGCTTCTGATAATTGGCAAGGATATTTTTTTTTTTTTCGAAAGGAATTTACGATATTCGAGATAACGAAATTCGTTCGATCACGTTTTGTGGAATGATTTTTTAGGAAACAAGTCTGGTCTCGATTTTGTATTGTTCGAACGTTAATATTCGATATGAAATTCTCTTCTCTTTTGAAAGATCGATCGATAGAATCAATAGAATCGTAGATAACAAAAATTATTATGTTGTTAAATTGCCAATTTTGCAACTTATATTTTGTTCAAGATTGTCCTCTTTGTGCGATAGTTCTTTTTTTGTATTGAGAAGCGAACCAATATTGGAATATTATTCCTGTACGAGTTTAAGCTGGGACGAAATATCAGGTCAGCTTTCGAAGAAGATTCTATTCTTGAGATGGGAGGATCGTTGTGGTGGAATTTCAAAAATTCAGGAAATGAGAATCTCGAAAATGAGCCTCGACGTAATATTAAACAAGGATAAATTGAAAGACAAAGTGGAAGTGGAAGAGTTAAACGTACCTCGAATGACAGGTTTGGAATGGGTGCAAAGCGAAAAAATTGGAAAAGTTGAGAGTTTTATTGTATCGTCGAACATAAAGCTCGAAACGGTAGAAGTCCATTTTTGAATGGAATTATAACCTGTGACGAGAAATGAATATTATACGATGATAGTACAACGATTGGATCGCTGATGAAAATCGTTACGGCCGACAAAAATTTCCATACGATGTAATGGAATGTCTGTAAATGGAATAATTCATTGTTCTTCTCTGAAACGAGGAGATACCGTAAAAGCCAGCATCCTATTGTCACGAAATTGATTAAGAAACAAATCGCATTAGCCGATATTAGACATGGATTCTATTCTTCAAATCGTGACAATGCTCGATGCATATTCACAACTCGCAAGATTATCACTCGTTTCGTTTCATTCGCGGTCGTATTTAACAAATAAAATATTCAAGAAATTATAATCGCAAAAATGGAACGGGATCATCAGAGCTTTCGATAAAGACAATATATTTCGAAAATGTATTCCTTTCGATCAACAAAAACTACAATTTCACGATCTAATAAAAAATTCTAATAATCATAATATAAGGATGAATATTATCATTTAAATTTCCCTATTATAAACTTCATTCAAATATTTATTTCTTGCGTGTATAGGTCGAATTTTGAAACAGGCAAGCAAGTTTCACGAGAGGAAGGTTGGTGCATTTACGAGCAATTATACCGAGCGATACTCGGAACAGGCGAGGTGAACGTGTCGGCGAGGGTACGCGGCGCGCGGAAAGAAGAAAAGAGTCCCCGGGGACGACTGCCTATTTAACCATTCCTAGTACGACTCGTTAGTCTCCTTCGACTTTCCTCGCTTCCTGATTGCCTTCCTAGTCCGGCGTATCGTGTACCTGCCCGGCCAGACAAATTCCGGTCGTTAAATCTCAAGTGTCTCGCCACTTCCGCGCGGCACGCGCGAGACCAAAGCGAGAGACCTCTGTCCGCTTGCCTCGAAACGGGCGATCGATCGAGGGAACTTTCCCTCCTCGGCCGAGAGCTCTCTCTCTCTCTCTCTCGTTTTCCATCGAAAGAAACTCGTCCCGAAAGCGAGAATCTTCCAAGAAATTTCTTCCTTCCGTTTGGAAACTTGGAAAATTGGAAAAGGATTTGTTCTACGAGCCACCTTTCACCTCGAGATCGATATATATATATATATATGTATACTACTCCGTATATAAATTTTCTTACTGTGATTCGACACATTTGGTCGTCCAACGATGAAACTAATTTACTTCTTAAATCCGTTTATCCGTTTTTTTCCAGTTCCGTGCCTGGAAAATATTCGAATTGCAAATTGCAAAAAGCACGAATCGATCGCATCGCGGGAAAAGCTGTAAATACCGAGGAACAACCGTTCGTGTATCTCTCTGCGCACCGACAGTTTATCTCACTGTCGCTCGAACAAATTCCAGTGACGGAGCGTGGTCGCGCGGTTAAATCGCTGGGAGGCTGCGTGTCCGTTTGGACCGATCGGTATGATCCGCGGATTGACCCTTACGGTACCTCCTCGAACCTCGTCAATGGTTTAATTACGGCCAAGTTATTTCCTCGTGACTATCCGTTGCGAGCGGATTTTTCCACCCTCTCGACCAAGGTGAAAGATAGAGATAGACAGACATAGAGAGAGAAAGAGAGAGAGAGAGAGAGAGGCCAAGAAGGGGTCAAGAATGGGAGGCGGTGGGCGAATGGGAGGGAGCCGGTTTATCTATGGCCGTTCGTTAACGATCCTGACATTACGACCTGAATTAGACAAGGCGTATCTTTTTCACATTGTGTCGTAAATGGACGAGGAAGCGGAGCGGACCCCTGTTATCCGGCCACGGATCGCTCCTGACAATCCGTTATCGGTTATCCGTCTCGTGGAGGGGGAGGAGGGCCGTTAAAACGAACGACGCGATCGACGTCGTGGGAAGCCGCTGCAAATGGCCGACACGTGGCCCAATCCGTGGCTCCGCGCCGCGGTTGAGAATTCAATTACGATTCGTTCGTAGGTCAGTTACTTGAAGGAGTTCAGAGACAATCGTGTTTCGACGACAGGAGCAGAATCTGAATTTGATCGGGAAAAATCGGAGAAATTAATCCTCCCCTGTTAATAATAATAATAATAATAATAATAATAATAATAATAATAATAATAATAATAATAATAAGTTCGAATCGCGAAATTGTGCCACATAGCGGCAGCTCACGAGGCTTGGGTAACCGCGTCACGTTGCTTCTTTGCTCGCGGCGTGTCCGTGGTTCGCCTGGGGGCATCGGGCGCAACAGGCTGAACCGAGTGGCTGTCAGTGTACCTGCCGGCCAGACAAATTCCGCCCATTAAGCGTTCGAACGTCGTCGTGCGCTGCCTGTGAACCCGGTCTCCGTGAGGCCCCCGTGCGGAATATAATGCCGCATCGTGGATTGACCCTTGCGGTACTCCCACCAGCCCGCGCGGCCATCACCTACACACACGTGGTATCCGGCTGCGGAGAGAGAGAGCGTGGTGTAACCGTGGCCTCTGGAGACGCGCCACGACGCCTATACGACGGCCGAGCCGTACGTACGTGCAGGGGTCATATTCTCATCGACGAGTATCCACACCGTTGCTGCTGTGCGCGCACCGAAACGGTTCGTTGTCGTTCGTTGTCCTCCTCGTCGTCCTCGTCCTCGTCGTTTCGATCGTTGCCGGTTAGTTGGTTGATAGAAGAGGGAAAAAAGAGAGAGAGAGAGAGAGAGAGAGAGAGAGAGAGAGAGAGAGAGAGAGAGAGAGAGAGAGAGAGAGAGAGGAAGAGAGAGGACTGTTGCATCCTGATAGAAATCTGATCGCTCGTTACCTGTTCCCTCTCCCGTACACCGCGTCAGAGATATCGTGACCGTTTTTGCGCCGGGTCACGTCGGTTCAGATGCATCGGACCTCCTCCTCCTCCTCCTTTCTTCTTCTTCTTTTCTTCTCCTCTTCTTATGGGATTCCTTCTTCCGCTTCTTCTCGCTCGTAATCTCTCTCTCTTTTTCCTCTCGTGTCTCTTATAAGGTGGCTGATACGAGGAACAAGTGGAGCGAACCGTGGTGGATCGTATGTATGGGATGGGTTACGTGTTTACTTATCCAGTCAGGGGTGACGATTAATTTATATGTACGAAATTTATACGCGTGATAACGTAAAAATGTGAAAGAGGAAACCAGGTGAGGAAACGAAACCGGCGACGCGTAATCGTATCACGGGACGATGGAAAGGAGAGAGAAACGATCGAGTGACTTTCACGATCCATTAACTCTGCGAGTTAGCAGAGCGTTCCTTTTAACGCGATAATAACGCGATGTCGCACGTTGCTGGCAATCCGCGACTTTGGAAAGACGATATCGAGCCCGATACGCGTGCATTAACTCTTCTCTCCGCTCGATCGCTTCGAATCAATGTGTCTCCTCTAGCTCTTTTTGAAAAAAATTCGAATAATTGATTTAATTTTTTTCTCTATGCGCGTTCAATCAAATCGAGAGGGAGGGGAAAAAAAGTTCCAGAAATCGTTTTCGAAACGAACTTTCTTTTCGACGATTTTTGCATAATCGAAAAGAAGCCGAACGAGGAAGTGGGCTCGATCACGATGGGAGGGGAAAAAATAACGAGGGATTAAAAAAATTGAGTTGCGTTAATTGAGCGTCGATGACTCGATGAAAAACATGTCACGGATGTTTCGACTCACCGACAATATTAGCGCTCTCCTCCTTTCGTGGTCGATCCTTTCGATTTCCTATCGCCTCCTGTAAAGGGAAGAAAAAAGAAGTCGGTATGAGTCGTTGATCGGTAATCGCCATGAAATTAAAACGATAGAATTATAATAGAGGGTTATAGTTCTGTAAAAATTCGATATATCGTGCTGAAAAAGAAAAAGAAAAAGATATCGGAAATTGTTTCAAGTTCAACGATCTCCTTCTCCTTGAATAAAGTCGAATTTCAATTTCTTTTTTTTTTTTTTTTTTTTTGCACAATTAACGAAATATAAATCTTCGTTACAGAAGAATAATCATGTCACGTTCGTTACGGTTTCCATTCATAAATCATCCGTTTATAATAAATGGATACAAGATGTCGCTTTCTTCTAACCTAATTTCGTTCTATACGTGTACGATACGCGAATAAACGATATATATGCTCGAAAGTATTACATTTTATAGAGAAAGAGAGACACTCGCGAGACAGAGTTAACGAGCCGTTTATCCATTACACCTTAATTTGTGCAACTCTACTTGCACTCTCTTTAAACGACGATCAATCGTCAGAATTAACTTTCCGCTTCATTTATAGCCTCGAAGGATCGTTAAACCGGTGAGAGTTTGCTCGTGTGTCAAGCTCATTGTACGCATCCACTCGACTCGTTCGATTGTAAAATTCGACTGTCTCGTTTCGTACGTCTCGATCTCAACGATTTTTACTCCACACGATAAACTCCACTGGTTCAGAATTATATCGTTCGAATTCAAAAATCGATTTCTTTTCTACACGTTTCACAAGATAATTTCCATCTTTCTTCGTAACACAAGTTCATCGATGCACTTCTATATTATTCTATTACAATTATCATATCAGCGAGAGACAAAAGTCGTAGAAAGTTAGGTTAAGTTTCTCTAAATCGTACGATAACTCTCTCTCTCTCTCTCTCCCTCTTTGTTTAAAAAGGAACTTGTTCGAGCAAGAATATTGTCTCGAATCTTTTTTCACCACCGAAAATATTCCCAGATTTATCCCCCTAGATGGTTCGAAGCGATTTCACGACGTCTCCTCGAAGAAACTGGGCTGATTCAGCCTGGAATCTGGAACGAGCCCATGCAACGCGTTATCTGTCCAACGCTGTTCGCCTATCTGGCCGGGATTGCACGTGTATTGTCGTACACCCACACACGCCGCCATGTCCGAGAGAGCGCGTCGATATGGCTGTACGGTTACCTAATCGCACCGGTGTTCCATCGTCCACGGCATTGTCTCTTTTTCTTTCCCGTCCCCTTCACCCTGTGAACCGTTCTCCGGTGGAAGCCCGAAGTCCTACGGTCGAGTTCAACGACGCGTGAACGCAAACTTTACTCGTTCCATTACATTTTCTACTTGGATAATCCGGTACAGTTGGAAAGCCTGTTGCCGACACGCGGTGTCACGTTCCAGAGAGGCCGGTACCGCTCGCGTGGACGAATTTCCAACGATACGAGTTCGAGTTTATAGTAATTGGCAGATGGACGATTGGAATTTCGCGTTCGTTGCGGAATGCTTTCCAAAAAAAAAAAAAAACAAAAATTTTAATAAGATTCTCTCCGTCGAACAAAAAGTGATAAAAAGTAACTAGGTAGCTAGGATTCAAACCCTAAAATTTAAAATTTCCTATTTGGTAACTTTTGCTCGAAATTCCTCGTAAAAAAAAATTCGAAAAAAATAACTAACCGTAACCAGATTCATCATCCTCGAATTAACCTCGTAAAATTCCTTATCGAATATTTAATACTTCGACTTGGAAGGACGGTCGTAAGCTTCGATCGAATCGGGCGCTCGCGATCTAGGGGAAACGAGAGACATTTCTGGTGGAATGGCGGATATAGGCGGATCGTTAAATTCGCTGTTGCGCTCGCGATTATCGGGCGAGTGTTCTCGTTGTGGCACGCTGTTTTATCTCGATCCCCCGTTGTTCACCGGTCGTTCGCGTTTCGCGGATTCGCGGGGTTCGAGATCGCTAGGTGGCGATAGACAGAGGGCGAGGCGGTCACTTCGAGGTGGAAACGCGCGAAACGCGCGCTTAAACACTTGGACAAATTGAGGCTGGGCGGCCACGCTCCACGCTTCGACGCGTAAATATGCGACCGCGTGGGCCGTGTTCCTGCACGCGAGGCTACCCATTTTTTTTCGAACTGGTTTTCTTCGCTGCCCTTTTCTCTCACCCTTGCGGATTGAATCCGTTGCGGAGAATTCAGAGAATTTGAATAAACATTTCTTTCCAACGCTTTACTTTTAACGCGAGGACGAGGGAAGGATAGAATTTAACGTTGGAATTATTATATCCCGCATTCCGTGCAACGATAATACAGAGTTCAGCGTGTTTGATTGGCCGTGGAGGTGTCCGAGCATGAAAAAAAGCGGCGAGAGAAGTCGAGAGAGGAACGGGCGAAGATAAAACTAATCGACCTCCGAGGAAAACTGATAATAATTGGATAAATATCCGTCAGATGTCATCCTTGTCGCTTGAATAATATATCCACCAATCACGCTTCTCTCGTACATTCCTTCTCTCCACCATAGAAATATTTATTCGAAAGATACGTTTTTTCAAAGAAATAACTTTTCTCCTTTCTCTCTCTATCTCTCTCTCTCTCTCTCTCTCTCTCTCTCTCGAAACAACTCGATGTCCTTCGAGTTTCCATTTCCAGTTGGAAAAAGTAAAGAGAGCGTGGAAGAGGAACGAAACGAAATACGAAGAGGTGCGTGCAGCGTGATATAGCGTGGAGTAAAGGTTATGTCTCCGAGCGAACGATATATCCTCGTACGAAAACTAGCAGGGCAACGTTGCAGCTTCGCCGCGAGGGTTCTTGTTATATGACCCACCGTATCCGAGTTATCCAAATGGAAGGATTAACGCAAACGTGTCTCGAGTGGAAATTGGGTACTACTATTTGCAACATTGACTCCTGCCCGCTTCCATTTTCCCTCCTTCCCGTTTTCTCTCCTCTCTGCGTGCCGGTTGGCTGGCAGCAATAAATATGCTGATTAAGCGGCAACGTACCGCCGGTTAATTTGCAGTATATCAGTGTACCCAATAGTGTATTTTAATTGGTCGTGAAGCATTATTGCAACGTATAATCAATGACGTTACGCATCAACGATCAGGCCCTGTTAACCGCTTTGGGCGCGTTGGAATTCTGGAAAAATCGATCGAATAGCCTTGCCCTTCGCTTGAAATCGGTCAGTCATTCGGTAACTTTAACGATGATTAAATATAAGATAATGCTTTAACGGATTCGAGATCGAAGCTCAAAGATGCGAGTATTGTTCGCTCGTGGAGAGAAATCTGATTAATTAATTTGGAAGGAAATTTGATTGTGACAGAAAAGAATGATATCGTCTACGAAAACGATTCGTATCTAAACCTCGATGCATTATCGTTAGGTACAGCATTCAGAGTTATTTTAACGTATCGATATGATATGAAAATTTTTTGTAGGTTAATTACGATTTGTAACGTTTAACTTGTAATTTTGTATTCGAATAATTGAAATAACAATTTAGATATTTAACTTTGTAAATGAAAATAATTTTTACGATTTTTGAATATTTAAATTATAACTCTTCTACTATTCTATAGCGTGTGGTGTCCTGAGATTTTTTTCCAAGTGAATAGTATATTCATAATAGTAATATTCATACGCAAAGACAACGCTGTGTGGCAATTTTTTTACACCTTTTGAGGTTATAGAGACTTTTCTCCGAAAGTGCTAAATTTCAGTTTCTTTGGATTTCTTGAATTTCTTACAAAAATTGTAAGGTAGCGTGGATCAAAAAACGATTCATAACATTCTACTTATAAATTCCTCTAAATACTCTCGATATTCCAAAGTTTCTTAAATCTGAAATTTCCTAAAAACCTTGGAATCTTCTCAATTTCAGTTTCCACTATTCCTCCGTTTCGAAAAGCGACTTTCACCCTCGGATCGTTCCATTATTTCCAGCACGAGGAACAGTGGCGAAGAAAGAAGAATAGAGCTGTTTGGTTGGCCCGCGAGCGTTGATTTCACGCCGATAATTGCGCTCTCGTCCATTAGCCCGAGCGTCAGCCGTGCGAGATATTGTTTCGCCGAGCACGAGAATCCCAGTGCACAATGCTCTGTGTTGCGAAAGTGTCGTTGCAGATTTCGTTGCAAAATCGCGAAAAGGTCTGCTCGCGACACCGATCCTCCTGCCAACCTTGACGCCGTCCAAGCCTAGAGACGCGGCGGCGAGCGTGAGACCACGGCCTATTTAGTTGCATCGTTGCACTTTACTCGATCGAGATCGCGATACTTTTCATCGTTTGCACAATTCCATCCATCCTTTACCCTTACCCCTTCCTCCCTGAACAGTGCATCCTTGATCCTTTTCGTTCCCCTCTTGCCCAAATTTTCTTTTTTTTTTCGATTCGATCCTTTCCAATCGTGCGAGTGAAATTAATTTTTAACGATTTTTCTCCAGGTTTAAAAAATATTTTAATACTTAATTACGTCGACAAATAATTTAATTGATACTTGAAATTACCCTTTTAGAGGAAGAAAAAAATCGGTATAAAATTATGGAAAGAATGGTTTATGGGCGATCTTTGAATTTAATCTTCGTAGAAGAAACATATATATATATATATATATATATATATATATATATATAGCTAAAGGCCATTAGGGAAATCATTTCATCCCGGAGTATCGGCGATGACCGTTCACACAGCGAAATTAATCTCTCACGTCGGCGAAATTTCACGGCTATAATAAACCTCACATCTATATAGCCGATCCTTTGTTCCCCATCTCGCGGCCATAGTTTCCACGAATCGTCCATCGTACGAGGTGTCCCGTAAATATATATAACGCTTCTGCACTCGACTCGAATCCTTCCCACCGTGTCAACGTTGTAATTTCCCCTTCCAATTATTTTCCCTCCCGACATTTCAACGAATATTTTTCCCCTCGATGATATCCTCGAGACAGAATCGTCGCCGCAAGTCCATTCGGCTCGAAATCGAGGGGCCGCTCGTTTC